TGTGTATGTTCAAAAATATAGCTTGCTGGAACCGTTTTCCAAGATCTCCTACAGCACCTTTAAGATGTATATTTTAAAATGTGCAGACAAATTTTGCCAGTGACAGTAATTATATGACTTTGAACTTGATCAGCCAGTCCTAAAATGTTAAGTGGACAGCAGCCTTCAGTGAGAATGCTGTTACTAAAGGGAAATAAAACTAAAAGTCGGTTATTTGCTGTATCAACGAGGTGTAGTCAGATGAACAGCAGAGATGTAAGACGCAATATAAAAGGTAAGACTTCTAAAACATGTTGAGGCATGTCTGCAGAAAACGGGGAGCCGATAACACGATGGCTAAAGAGATCCCAGCCAGGACGTCGATCTTTTGACTGGAGCTTTTAGAAACATTGGGATGTCAGGTGATAGCATTAAATATAATATGTAATTAAAAACATATGTGATAGCATTACACAGAATAGAACAATAGAAGAACTAATTGTGATGATCCTTTTTAATTTTGCCAATATTCTTTACATTTTCCAACCACAATCAATAAATAAATACTAAATCACTTCAGGCTGTTGTTTGATTTATACTATTAGGTACATTTGGATTTGTTTTGAATGTTTAATTAAAAGTCTAAGCTTACACCACTTTAAAATGAGATAATTTTGCTTGATCTGACCCAAGACATGACCCCATGGTCTTTCTGCATGCAGTTTGGTTTGCATTTCCTTCTTGTGTATGCCTGGGTCCTCCCCGGGTACTCCAGCTTCATCTCACAGACCAAAAACATTAATTTTAGGTTAATTGGCTTCTCTAAATTGTTCTTGAGTGTGAATTTGTGTCTGCATGGTTGTATGTCTCTGTATTGCCTTGGCGACATGTCCAGGTGCTACACCGCCTCTCACCCATAGACAGCATGGGCACCGGCCCCAACGCGACCCTAACGGAATAAGCAGCAGAAGATGGATGGATGCATAATAATAATGTTAATAACCTTAATCTTTTGATTTATTTTTCTTTGCAGATTTCAACAAGGACGTTTACTGAAAAAGGTGGGGAATCTCAGCCAACTCTGATAGAGGTGATCAGAGGAGATAGATGAAGTGGCAAATCATAACTTTTTTTTATCTGTTTAAAACCTCTAGAGGTTTGAATTACAAATCCCTCTGATAAGAGAGAGAGGATGCAGCAGGCAGTGAATGTGCTCAAAATTCTGGACAGTGACTGATAAGATGATGACATGGATCATTTTCTAAAATCATTTTCCTCTCACTTTTTTGTGTTTTTTTAAACCAAAAGTGGGTACGCAACCATATATATTGACATTATTAACCATTGCATTTTCTGCACGGAAATATGTTTTCTTAGAAAGTAAAAAAAGAAGCAAAAAAATTCCCCTTTCCAAAGTAATATATCAAACCCTCAAGTATAATTTATAATAAAATATAATAATATAATTTATACTTAGGAGTAGATTTTGTGAATATTTAAGTATAAATATGAGTGCCTCATAGGGAGGAACAACAAACCTTACAAAATTCTGATCAGTGCACCTGAGGAGATATTATTCTTAATATTTCTGTATTTCCATTCAAATAGTCAACAATCAGCATAATGTACATACACAGCCCCAAGATGGTGAAAAGGTTAGGTAATCAGGCGATCTGCTGTGTTCAACACAGAGCATCCTGGCTACATGACACGAGTCTCTGTGTGTATGCTTGTGAGTTGGATAGTTCTCTGCAATAAGAGCTGTGAGACAGAGTCCCAGACTGCTGATGGGAGATTAGAGGTGAGACGTCTAATCTCAATGTAATCAGGCCCTGCATCTGAGCCTTCGCTCCACACCAACAGGTCCAAACAGAAACTCATCTCACAGAAAACACGGCCCTGATGAAGTAAAAGATGGTGATGGGGAGTATCTGGTCTCAACCATCAAAGTCAGAGAGGAAAAAAAAGAAAAGCAGGTAAAATTTAATTATTTTTCTCTCATGTCTTGGAGGCTCAGGCTGTTTTGACAGGAATTAGTCCATATAACAGAGTGAGTGGTAAACTGCCAAGGACGTGTTCAGGAAAACCACGGCTAAATACTTAATGATAATTAAAGCTTGGTGGTAAAAAAAAAAAAAAAAAAATGGCATCAGAGAGGAGCAACCCCTTTACTGTGTAAAAAATGAACTAAGTGCAGAGACACCAAGGGAAATGAGCATCTTAAGTTATGTTAAGACAAATAATCTATGAAAAAATGCATTAAAAGTGGACATTACAGCCACTGGAGAAAGGACAAGTATCTGTTTTCATCTAGGACACTTCACCTTCTGATGGCTCAATGATTAGTGAATTTGGGTAGATAGAGGAGAGGGAAGTGGAGGAGAAGAGGCTGCCAGTGAACAGCTGCCCCTGTAATTTATATTGATGAGGGGACTGGCATGGCAGGGAGCTTCCAGCAGTTTGATCACTCAGGCAGAGTAGAGAGTCAGCGAGACACCACCAATCTCTGTGGTTTAGGCTGGAGTAGGGAGACCTCTTAAAATCACACACACACATTCACAGAAACCATACTTTTATGAGGAGTACCTTGAAAAACGATTTATTCTAAGCAAACTTTTCCACATTTTTTCATATTACTCTCAAATTTTCATGTAGCTTATAGCAGAGTTGGGCATAACCTATGCATGATTTTAAAAACTAAAACTGTGACATGTTTTTGTATTTAGACCAATCTGATACACTGGAAGCTGATTTCAGAGAGCTGACATACTGCTTTGTCGGACGGTGTTGAAGCAATCATCTGATCCTGAATGTGACTAAAAAAGGGAGACAATTGTAGATTTTAAGCAAAAAAAATAAATAAATAAAAAAGTAAAACCCTATAGCCGTCATGGGTGACGAAGCAGAGGTGGTGGAGGGGTAAAAATGGTTTGTTTTTTACCTGAACAGCAGGCTGCAACGAAAATGCAGCTATGAAAATGTGTACAAGACAGGATGGATCGGACTGTTTTGAGGATGCTAAGGTCCTTCTTGGAAGACTACAAAAATAAAAACAGCTGCAAGGAGACTTGTTTAAATCTGCTGCAATCTATCTGGAGGACACAGAAAAGATTATTATTGCTTTGAATGGAGGAAAACCAACACCAAACGACAACCTAAACTCACCATTGCCATGATAAATGTGGTTGGCAGCATTAAGCTTTGGGTTCTTTCATCAGTGAGGACTTATAAACTGGTCAGAACTGATGGGGAGATCGGTTGAGATAATTACAGGGACATCCTGAAAGCTATTAATCATACAAAGCTGATAGAGACATGCCCTTAAAAATACGAAACTGTAACGTCAGGAAAAGATTGTACTACAAAAAAAAGACTAAGAAGGGCTGGATATAAGCATAGAACAATTGTATTTATAAAAATAAAGAAATTAAAATTTCCAATAACCCAATATTCACTGTTCCCAGTCATAAAAAAAAAGAAAAAAAAAAAGTGTAGGCTTAACCTGGCAAATCACAATGTTATCATTCTAAGAACAGAGATAGATCCACCGGCTGGCTATAAGCATGTAGGGCAGAAACATCTCCCTCATTATTACTCCACCAACCATATAATCACCAAGCTCCCCCTTTACAACCTCAATGACCATTAACTGGCCCTTGAACTCCTTCTGATCGCGCAGCCCTGATGAGGCGCTGCAGCCGCTTCCTGTCTGTGAGGCAGAGCAATCAGATACTTGTTAAGGAGATTTACTTTGATTTTTTTTTTCTCACAGTTATGATTTGAATATTTCTAACTGAAATGAGATGGTTAAGTCCAGTTTCAGCCTAGGGCTTTTAAATTCAACACTCTTAAATTATACTCTTTGATTTGGGTCCCTTTTTTCCCCTCCGTATGGAGGTGCTTAAAGTAGCACTAATTAAGTTGGTGGGACAAGAGAACTATGGGTCAAAATGTGTGTTCCTCTCAACATTAAGAGACCCTGACCCCAGCATATAATTATAGTAGCACCTCCAGACAAGCAAATAGCTTAACACATCTTCATCCCGCACCGTCTGAGCAAGGTAGAGCTGTGTAGCATTGCAGACCATATCCTTTGCTCCACTGCCTGATGTAACCGAGAGCCGGGGTGCTTTATGCTCACAGTCTAAAACGCTCCGACCGCTCTTACAAAAAGCCCCTCTGGCTTCCCCCTCTCCACAAGTTTCATCAGAGCGATCAGAGAAAAAGAATAGCCTTCAGGGCTAGTTTCTTCCATTCACACAGAGGGATACAAATACACACATAAGCCTTTTTGTTGCATACACAGACAGGCAGCAGAACATCCCCACAAAAAAAAAAAAAAAAAAAAAAAAAATTACATGCGTTTTCAATTGCACTTCACACATGCCAAAATACTGTACAAATCACCAGGAGATTATTGATTCCTGCAGGTTTGGCTGCTCATCAATTCTTAACGTGAGGAGTGAAATTTAAAAGGCTGAGCTTCACAGTATTACTGTAGCGCTTGCAGATGCCTTGCATGTTAGATTAGAGAAACGTGTCAACGCCTGCCCTGATATCTTTCAATTTTTGCCGATATAATCTGTATTGAAGAACATAGAAGTCTGGTAGTTAGTGCAGCCTCAGAGGTTACAAACCACCATACAACACCACATCCTTGTTGTTCAGCTGCAATGTCTTGCAGAAAACAAAGAGATGCTATACCACACTGTCTGCTACAAATGTGCATGATTATCTAGCAAGTCACAAGACTGCACAGCATTTTGATTTCCTCTCGGGGTTATCATTTTCTTTACAGTACATAAGAGAAGAAATACAAAGAAGTGAGAGTGAGATAGATTTCAGAAAGGAAATCTACTGTGTCAGGCAAAACTGAAAAATAAGCAGATGGGAGACAAATACAGTCACTGGATCGCCCATCTATATGAAACAAGAGACATTTTCCCCACATAATGATGGGCTTTGCATAAAGCTTTAACAACTCAGAGATTCTAATGAAGACAAAAAAAAATAGTACTTACAAGTGTGTGTCTTCTTTGTGACTGAGATACCTGCAAAGATGAAACGAAATATATTAAAGCCTACAGTCACTAATACAAAAGGCAGAAATATCATTTTTTTTTTAAAATAGAAACTAGAATATGTATTTTTTTTCGCCTCTCATGTGTCAAAAAAACTGATAATCAAGTATAAAAGAATATATATTTTCCAAAATCTACAAAAATTATATTAATAATAATAAAGCTAGAAGGTGAACTTTAAATGAGATACTGTAGCTAGAAGTTTAACTCCTCCTGGGGAGTAGGTGGCGCACTCGCATGCTCTCATTCCAACTTTGGCTACTGTGGTCTGGACCTACTGTGGATGTGTTATTTCTTTTTAAATAAGTTGCTTCAATTAAAAATTTTGTGGAATGAAGGTTTTTCCTTGGCCTATTTTGTGTGATAAAATGTTAGTTTGAATAGAAGTAATGATAGAGAAATTCTGTACCATTCACTATGCTATACTGTTTAGGGGGACAGAAAGCAGGTGTCTCCCCTCCCTACTCTAGATAAGGGTGAGGGGAAGGTCATTAGAACTAAGGAGTTCATATAAAGCCTCCTTCATGCTATGGTTAAAACTTATGCTCTTATCGTTCTCCGGTCACCGTTTCTGGTGTGAACGGAATACAGTTGTCTGAAATGTTTATCTGAGCAAATTTATGTCCTTTAATGAACTAAAGTGTTTCTCTTGGGAAGATTCAATGTTCGTGTGTGTATGCTGTGGATTCTTTTTAAATGTAGGGGTGTGTTTCTGAATGCTTCAGAATCACACTCAGCTGTATTCAGCTGGTTTGTGCCATTCTCCTCTGCAGAGTAAAATAAAACGCTTTCTTCCTTGCATATCAACTCTCAGTGCTCATTTTTACTTCACAATTTGCAGTTTTGACAACCTTGCCTCAAATCTTTTGAACCTTCCAGCAGGTCTTCTTCCATGATTGTCCTGTTTTTAGCTAAACTCATCATCCAATTTGGTCAGACAACCTTCCATTTGCTTCTTGAAAAAAATTCACAGCAAAGACTGATGCTGTTGACTTGTTCAGCGATCTGCACTAGAGGAGTTTAGCACCACATACGGTGCCTTATCATCAAACACAACGCAAATGCAAACTTAAAAGCATGTGCAAAGCTTATCTACATTCAATGTGCAAATTTTTGTTTTGTTTTGTTTATGTGAGGGTGCCTTCATGAATAACAAGATCATATCCTAATGACCAAACCCTACAAACTTATGGGTGGAAGATATGCAAATTAAGAAATATACCTACAAAATTATTCATCCACTATGAGCATCCGTTATTAGTACATTCAAAGTAGGGTACAAATTAATTAATTCTACAATTGTGGTAACAAAGGAGGCAGTGATACAAATAGAGACAAGACAAAAAGAGGAGAGAGACTTTGTATGCATGTAAACATATCTGGATTGTCAAAAAACAAGTAGATTATTTGTGGGGAAAAAGGCATCTCCTCAGACCACTGTGAATTAATGCAGCAAGAACCAAACGATCTTTATGCAGTTAAACCAAAATGAACTAGAAAAGCATTCGGAGAGAACAGACCTGTCCGCCAAGCAGCAAATTATACCCCAAATTGTGATTTACACCTAAAGCTAAAACTACCAAATACCAAATTGAAATTAATTGTTCCTTGGCATGAGGCACACCTCAATGTTAGAAGCACACCGATGCATCTTTTAAAATTCATATATATATATATATATATATATGAACATCCGGCCCATAAAAGAAAATTTGGGAGAAAGTCAAAATCTGTAATCTTAACTTGTGGTGAGAGGGATTACTTTTCTTCCTCATAGTTTCTTTATAAACTCTTGATGAAAACAGTTAAGTTGTATAAAATAATTTTGGGCCCATCATATTTTGTAATATTTTTGATCAATTGAAGCAGTTTAGAGTGTAAACTTGCTGTAAATCTAACCGTGATTTTTTCTTTATTAGAGGTATGTTGGAGGAAGTAGCAGAAAAATGCAGCTTTTTCAGTTATTATGAGTGAATTAAAATCTTTTAAATTTAACCTATTATCATATTTTAATTTGAACATATTTAACATTTTTTTTTACTTTTTGTAGCATTATAAGATACTAGCAATAATAAGAATGATTATTCTATATTTTTCAACAATTATTATGAATATTACATATAACTCCAATGCTTAGAACTCATCCTTTCTTAAGGCCACAATTTGCTCCTTTTAATGGAGCGGACCAAAGCCTTTGCTCATCGTGCTCCTAGTGCGCACAGTATCTATAGTTCAACAGCTACATAGCCGCTTATTGCACAAGCAGTTTTTTTTTTTTTTCCCAGTCAATTTGGCATCTTTTATTTTGATTCTGTGAAGATCAGGCTCTGTATGTGTGCTGGCTAGTTTGTCAGTTAAGGTTTTTGCTATATCAAAAACTGTCACAAGGTGGTTATGAGTATAATTTCCAAGCAAAAGAGGAAATTTAAATAAAAAACAAACAACATTTGGAATACTAATGCACTGCCTACTGATTAGGCCGGGGAAAATGAGTAATCTTCAGTGCCTAAGGGGAGTGAAGGCACTTTGACCGAAGTGTCCATAAATCCACAAATCCATACAATCTATAGAAAAAATAAAAAATGACAAGTGTAAAAATATTGTATCTGAAAGCACATGTCAGGCGTAGCCTTTTCTTATGCCAGGTTATGCAGTGGTAAATATCCGTCAGTGTTCAGAACTTTGGATAAAAATAAAAACCTTAAATGATATATTAATAATAACGTCTTTTGGGGGTCGACCCATTGAGCAGCTGCTTTAGATCGTACTGTGACTCCTCCTGTCTGAAACATCGGTCTAACGCCTCAGGAGTCTGGCACAGACAAACGCCGAGCTAACCAAAGTCCCCCACGGCCCTGTTGCACACTCATGCTATGCAGGACAGAGAGCACAATAATAGATCCCACTTGTCATGCGGAAGCAATGGCTAATTTTTTCTACAGCCTGCATTTGAAACTCAGGGGACAGCATTTTGACATGATTCAATAACTCGCAGAAGAACAGGAAGAGAAAAAAAAGGCGTCTGGCCATAGATAACGATGCTTCAAACATGTAGGAAGGGGAAGCAAGTCAAAGAGCAACGAGGGGGAAAACAAATAAGCCCTTCAGTCTTTTATGGACATAGCACAAACCTACAAATTATATCAACTCCACAAGGCAGAAAAGAGGAGTGTGTGGACTTGTTATTATCATGGTGTGGGGACTTTTATCTGTTTTTACAGTCATGTAATAGGGACCTATGTCCTTATGGGGACCAAAAACCTTTTCCTCATATGGTAAAGTTCTCTTCTTTGAGGACTAAAGTGTGATTTCAGTTCAGGTTGGGGTTAGGGTACGTGTTGGGGTTAGGCAATATAAAATGAAATTAAATCACTGAAATGTCCCCATAAGTGATGAAAATAAGAATCTGTGTGTGTTGAAGGTGGGGGCGGGGGGCTTGAGAGTCACCTAGGGGCTGTCAGTCTTTGATGCAGCTCCGACATTGTTCTTGTGCTCCAGGCAAAAAAAACTTCAGCTTGGTTCAACTTTAGCTTTATGCAAAGAAAACATAAACTAAAATCAACACCTTAGTGAAATGACATGGAATTCATTTTGATCTGATGTTGAACTAACGACGAGCTGTGTCTATATGGTGCACAACAAGACAGAAGAAAAAAAACTGTAACGGTTTCTGTTTCAAGGTAGGACTTTTTTTTTTTTAGACCACAGCTGGTGTGTGTAGTGGTTACTGAATTACACAGAAATAGACTGTGTTTTCCTGGATTTTTGTCGGCCTCTTGTAATCTCAAAAAAACAAACAAAAACAAACCAGCAAAAAAACCCTCAGCCGTTTAAAAAAAGGTTTGTATCCATTTCAGGTGTAAATGTGCAAAAGCATAAAAAAACAAACAAATAAAAATAAATCTCACTTTACATTTAAGAATTAGGAAACTTTGCATTGACACTATAAATCAATGCCTGATGAGAGATCCAACAACCGTTACCATCCATTCACTTTATGAAATGTTTTTATCATAGAGGAAATCAACATTTGTGTGAACAGCATATACAGTTCAAATGTTGTTGCCCATCGTTAGCCACAGAGACCACACTCACAGTCACTTGCTCCTCCTACCTGTTAGAGAATTACTCGTCTTTCATTTAAATTCCCTAGAATGAAAGAGCCAATGTTGATATATATATATATATATATATATATATATATATATATATATATATATATATATATATATATATATATTCACAAATAATGAATCCATTGATATTAAAACAGAACAATAAAATTCAGGCTAAGATAAAATCTGCTTTACTCCTTAAAACAACAATTTTACAAGATACTCTGACATTATTAATGCCCACCAAGGCTTTACACTGCAAAATTTATCTAGAAATAATTGAAAATCTCTTAAATTAAGTGAAGTTACTCTTAATTTAAAGCAGGAAAATAAGATTGTTTGCCAATGGAATGAGTATTTTTACTCTTAGAGTAAGTTAATTACATAATATGCACTTGAAATAAGACAATGCAGTTCTTTTTTCTTATTTTAAGTGTAAATTGTCTCGTTTCACTGGCAAAATCTCTCACTTACCCCCCCATTTCAAGAAAAAATGCACTTATTTTAATTAGATTTACATTTTTTGCAGTGTAGGCTCTAAGGCGTCACAGCAGACTGCAATATAATATGAATAAGATAATAAACAACACAAAAGTGCCTTAAGGAAACCATAGAGCACTTAATAATGACAATATCTTTATTTCATGCTTTATAGTATGTTGCATGATATTTTTTAAAAAGGGGGTGGCTGAATAGATACTATCAAAACAATTATCAATATCAACATTGGTAATTTACATACCAACAATTTAGAATATGGAGATCTAAAGTTAATTTCTTTTACTTTAGAACTATTGTTTAAATCTAATTACCGGTAAACATAACCAGGCATCAGTATTATTTTTATTTTGGTAT